CCCCAAAACCCCAAAACCCCAAAACCCCAAAACCCCGTACTAAAACAGAGCTGTTGAAATCTCCATTATTCATCTCTTTTCCAATTAAAGCCCTTTAACGACCATATTAATCATTCCATTCTCCTGTAATATTGACTCAGCTTGATCTTTCGACATTCCACAATTCTTCAAATTGATACTAACTTGTCTATTCTTAACACTCTCCACTTTGGCCAACCCCTTCACAATATTCTTAAACGTTTCAAATCCATTTTGGCTCCAATTGCTCTTACTACTCCCTCCAGTACTCTCAAAATCAATGGTGGTAAAAGCAGCTTGGTCAAGTCTGCCTCCAAAATCCACTTCCTCCCCTGCATCTATCTTACAGTAACAAAACCTGACATAGTCTGTGTTCTGCGCAGCCACGAGGATGTCTTGGAACTGGGAGCTGGTGATTGTCCAGAAGACAAGTTCAACTCTGGAGGGGATGAGAGGGAGGGTCTTGGTCAGAGTGTCCATGTAAGGACTTAGGTCAAGGCAGGAACCAGTGTTAGTGTCGATACGGAAGTATTTCACATTCTCGCTCAGGGCGTTCCCCAGGAACTTCGTTATCACCTCAGGCTTGTTGAAGGCATGAATATTCCAAAGAGTAAACTGCTTCAGAGGAGGCAGTCTGAATAACTGCAGAGCCTTCAGCAACTCTTGATCAACAGTATTATTCACATTAATTGTAAATTCTGAGTCCTCATTGAATGAAGTTGAAGCCTTCATCATGGCATTGTGAATTGCCTTTAACCCAGCATGGTCGAGAGTGTTCTTGGATTGCTGCAAAGTGTCTTCGAGAGCGAGAATCTCCTGCTTCATTTCTTCGGCCTGTCTGTTGTGTTGCTCCTGTTCTTCTTCAAGGGCCTGGATTTGTTGGGTGAGGCTGTCGATTTCCAGTTGTCTTTGTGCCGAAACTTGTTCGGAGTTATCCTTCTCTTGAGTCAAAGTCTGAATTGTCTGATCGAGCTCTTCCTTGTCTTGCTCCAGTCTTTCCAGCTGAGTGTTCTTCTCTCTATCTCTCTCAGTTGCTCTTCTGAGAACTTCCTTCAGAGGGTTCACTTGCTCAGCAGTGATTGTTTGCTGAATTTCTTGTACTTTGGCTCTGACAGCTGCCTTGGACATGTAACTAGTCATAGAATCTGCAGATTTGGACTCTTTGAACTCTCTGCAGTGAAGCTGTCTGTTGAACTGCTTCATTAGTTCAGATTCGAAGATCGAGTTCAAGAAAGTCTTGGCCTCTACCTGGAAGTCAACAAGCTTGTTCCATTGTCCATTGGTCTTAATTGTATGGAGTTCTTCTAAGTACGGTTAGCTTTTATGCTTGAATAAAGAAGTAGTAGGTAGCCTGTATTATGAAGAATAGTAACTTCATCAGAAAATTCATACATTAAAATGAGAATTTACTACTATCTAATTATGAAGATAAAAAGCCAAAATATTGGAGCTCAAAGATCTAGCCACACTTACCTTGGAGAGTTTTGTAGCTTGCTTTGAATTCTTCATGCTGGGGCAGTACTCTGTCCCATATATCATCAAGCTTGTGCTCATTTCTGAAGAAGTCAATCTTTTTGAGATTGTGCTGTGCTTTAAACAAGATTAAATCTCCAATAATTTCGAAAGGTATTATTAATTCACAAAAACACGATAAAAATTGTCCATGAAAATCTCATTTGAAGAATATCTAAAAAGTCTAAGATAACTAAGCGTTCTTCAAAGGAGTAGTCTAGCAACATATGTCTAGCTCCTTACCGCAGTTGAGACACTCAATGATTGGGTCAATCTCGGGGATGGGCTCTGGAGCCTGGTCAGAGAAATGAGTGATCATGCACATCGAGCAGACGAACAAATCTTTTCTGAGAGTGTTTGCTTCACTCTTCCTGATCATATATGAGATCTTTTCTCAATCCGAATAGGTTTTGCACCTTGGCATTCCTTGTATCATATTTATTATTATAAAATATTTTAATTTTATCCCTTATATATTTAACACGGGGTTTTGGGGTTTTGGGGTTTTGGGGTTTTGGGG